ACCTTGCTGTGTCCCTTATAGAGCAGAGTGACAGTGGTTGATTACCTTGTTGTGTCCCTTATAGAGGTGCGTGACAGTAGCTGATTACCTTGCTGTGTCCCTCATAGAGCAGAGTAACAGTTGTTGATCACCTTGCTGTGTCCCTTATAGAGGTGAGTGACAGTGGTTGATTACCTTGTCGTGTCCCTTATAGAGTACACGGTCAGTGGTTGATTACCTTGCTGTGTCCCTTATAGAGGTGAGTGACAGTAGCTGATTACCTTCCCGTGTCCCTCATAGAGCAGAGTGACAGTGGTTGATTACCTTGCTGTGTCCCTCATAGAGCAGAGTGACAGTGGTTGATCACTTTGCTGTGTCCCTCATAGAGCAGAGTGACAGTGGTTGATCACCTTGCTGTGTCCCTCATAGAGCAGAGTCACAGTAGCTGATTACCTTGCTGTGTCCCTTATAGGGCAGAATGACAGTAGCTGATTACCTTCCCTTGTCCCTCATAGAGCTGAGTGACAGTAGCTATCTCACACTATCCCACGGATAGTTATTATCCCTGGGTGTTCGCATACAGGCATGGGAAGCGTCATCCCTGTCGTCCAGTACAAATCTATACAAGCGGAACTAACAACTCCAAGGTTGACAGCAAAATTCTACTGTGACTTTGTCAAACATACAAAAAGTCATGCTTACATAAAACCTGATTAAATACGACGAAGTAAAACACCTGGGTTTTGGTTTCAGTTATACATACAGTGTGTGAAACCCATACTGCCAAACGCAGAAGTTCGTACATATAAACACACCCGAGATATGTTGTGCTAACAAATTTAAGACATGATATGAGGAGATCGAAAACGCCCATCATTATTCGCAGAGACAGAGAGACAGACAGACAGAGACAGACAGACAGACAGAGAGAGAGAGAGAGAGACAGACAGACAGAGAGAGACAGACAGAGACAGACACACAGAGACAGACACACAGAGAGAGACAGATACAGACACTGAGAGAGAAAGAGAGACAGAGAGAGACAAAGTAAGAGAGACAGAGACCGAGAAAGACACTGAGAGAGAGAGAGAGACAGACAGAGAGACAGGCAGACAGACAGACAGAGAGAGAGAGAGAGAGGGGGGAGGGGAGAGAGAGAGAGAGAGAGAGAGAGAGAGAGAGAGAGAGAGAGAGAGAGAGAGAGAGAGAGAGAGAGAGAGAGAGAGAGAGAGAGAGAGAGAGAGAGAGAGAGAGAGAGAGAGAGAGAGGGGGGAGAGAGATGTTATCCAACTTCCAAGATTGTGCTGAGACATAGCGATGTAGTATCGTGGTCAAGGTCGAAGAGAGTCTGTGGGTTCTCTGATTTTAACCCACAAAGGGCAGATCCTAGCGCGACCAAAGAGATACCTATGCGCAGCGCGCCCTTGTTTGTACTTCTCCTTGGCAGGAATAATATATTAAGTTGATAAAGTTGAGTTGGTATCCGGGTGTTGAAATGTATAGCTCACGTTGAACAGTTATCAAACAATGACTACTGTATGCGAACACTAAAAATATGAAACGTTTTTTGGAAACTGCAAAAAGAAACATCTCTTTAAAAAAGATGGACATGTGATACCTTAAATGTTTGTCGTCATGCTTCTGTTGACAAAGCATTTCTTTTCCTGAAGATGGAAATGATATTTATGTTCTCGGTTTGTTAGCTACTGTAGCGAGAAACTAGTCTCTATACACACAGCATACTTAGTCATGTGTTAATTCGCTTGCAAGTTGTTTGATCCGCCAAGTTATTTCCAGCAAGGTATGAGAACAGGATAACAGCATTTAACATCACTGGAAATCGTTTTGATGTTTCTAAATTGTGACGAATTGTCCGATGCAATTCCCAAGTTTGACTTGTATCAGCACTATTTCATGGTGTTTTATAAACACATGCTTGTGGCAGTTAGATGCAGTAGAATTAGCACATCTGATTGCAGAGATTTCATCTGATTACAGTCACATTTTTCATAACTTTACTTTAAGATGTCCAGTATTGACTATGAGGTGGTCCAGCTACATAGAGACGCGAAAACAGTGTACCTGTATTTTGTTGCTTCTACTGAGATAGGCGGGATCTATTACAGCTCGCTCACATCTAGTAGGAAAGAAAGCCCCAGTTGAGAGAGGTCTTAAGTTGAAATTGAGACCCCAGGTGTCTGCGTGTGTTTCATTATATTCAGCATGCACCTGTATATAGTGCCTCAGTCATAGCTACAGGAATTGTTTCATCTATTCTCACATATCTGAAAGGGACTGCTCGCAATCTCCACGTGGGGTGGGTGTGGGCTGAAGCAAGTTGCCCCTCAGTCGTTGTCGGTCAACTCTGTTTTCCTAGTAACCTACAAACACGTCTCTTTTATTTTCCGCTGTAACCTGATTTCTAATGAAATTGAAAGAGGTTATTTAACATATAAAAAAATATACATTGAGCTAATACATAATCTCGTGGTCAGGTTAACACATGTCATCGTATCCCAATTGCGTAGATCGATGCTCATGCTGTCGATCACTGGATTGTCAGGCTCGATTATTTACAGACCGCCGCCACATAGCAGGGATGTTGCCTAGTGCGGCTTTAAACAACAAACCAACCAATTAAACTTTCAGCTGAATTCATAATAACAAAAGTGTATTGAAATGTGAATGGGCTTATAAATGCTGAGGTAAAAAATGTATCAATCATTACTTATTGTGGAAAATCGGATGTTGGCCAGGCTAGTTTGTGTCTGTGTATTAGGTAATGATATTATTCGGGTGTTCACAAGACACCAAAGCATCACAGAATGGTTTGGCTGGCATGGATAATTGGGTTATACATCATCATCATAAACGATCTCCAGTAAGCCTGTGTTTACATGTATAATAAGAGCAATCACTTATGCATCTATATGTCTCTAAAAGTAAGTGTTGCTCGGTATTGAATTTGATATAAAAGTATTATCTCGAGTGATCATGTAATATACGGTTAGAACGTGGCTTGTATAGTATGACCAGAAATTATTGAAAATATTAGGAATATGTTTAATTGGATTTCTAATATAAACAACCTTGACCAGCTAGCAAGTGCTTGCGTTTCATTCAAGAGAGACAACTCCGTTAATCCTTTTTCATTAGTTTGTGAAGGGTTATCCCCCTTTGTTTACTTGCTAGCAGACGACATTTTCAGTGATCCTCAGTATGGATGATTTAGAGAAGAGGAAGTTGATTTTAGAGTATTATAATAAGGACATCAGATCAGCTAAAGTGATTTCAAGTAGAACAGGTATCTTTTTTTCCACCGTTTATCGTGTTTTGAAAAATATTGCAAATTGATATGGCATTGAGCACCAGGGAGGCGCAGGTAGGCCCAGAAAATTGACTGTCGGTGACAGGAGGCGGCTTGGTATTCTTGTTTCTAGAAACCTTAAGGCTGGATATGATTGATAGAGGAACTGTGGCTGTCTGTAAGGAGACAATTAGAACTGAGCTGCATGCAATGGGTTGGCAGAAAAGTCGAGGAATTCAAACACCGATCATGAAACCTGAACAAAAGGAGCAAAAGTTGAACTGGTGCTTACAGCATAAAATTTTAACTGAGACAATGTGATTTTCACAGATGAAAGTTCTGTGTGGCTGTTTCCTAATACACCGAAATTCTGGACCAAACAAACTGAAAACCTTTGTATCAGCGCCTAAAGTACAGTCCGAAATTTAACGTGTGTGTTAGGGGCAACGCCCCTCTGTGTATTTGAAGGGAATATGAACAGTGAGCGTCACACAGATATTCTCGAGGGACATTTACTTCCATCTGCTCACGTGTTCTATGGACATTTTTGGATTTTCCAGCAGGACAACGACCAAAAACATCGTTCAAAGCGTTCACAGGCCTGTTGTCGGACCCAAAATATGACATTATTAGATTGGCCAAGCTATAGCCCTGACCTTAATCCAATAGAAAATGTTTGGGGACTTATGAAGGAAAGTGTCAATAAGAAAATCTGACAAATATTGCTGAAATGAAAGAAGAGGTGGTCCGATATTGGGACAGCATGGACCACGACTTTCTAACTTCTTTGATCAGTAGTATGCCCCGCCGCATTGAAGCCTGCATTGCTGCCCATGGTGACTTGACAAAATACTAACTGTTCACCTGTCTTTGAATCTGGAGTTATGTTCTGCTAATATTCACATTTTATACGTGAGTAAAGTGTGGAAAAAATAAAAAATTACAATCTTTAAATTCTCAATAATTTCTGGTTGTATTGTAACTTCTCGTCTTGATGCTAGGTCCTGTATAGAGCGAATGGAACAAACGACAAAAGTAATATTGTGGCGGATTGACGAGGTCGCTGAACATCTTTACATTCAATAACCTTCCTCATACCTGATTATCTATTCCATTACGATACATAGTGACATGGCATCAGGTTTGATTAACCCATTCGGGACCGTGATACAAGTGAATGCGTTTGAAAGCGGCGTCAAACCCATCTCAAACAATAACTCTCTTAAAACATATTCATTGGTATCCAGTCGGATACTTGCACGGGTAGCTTACTAGAGGTGTGTTATTGATCTTCTCCCATCTCGATTACTCGGGGGGGGGGAGGGATTACTGTTTGAATGCTTGACTGGCATTTTGAGATAGGCATCAAGCGTTGGGCTTCAGCAGTCCTAATTACAGAATCCACTGTGACAGTTCCCTCCTGTGGATTACTACATGTACTTTCCGACCCGTTGAGTAGTTAACCACTACTTGTTCGTCTAGATGACTAAAATAGCTCTTTTCGTGTTGATAAGAAGACGCAACGCCCAACATTCTTCAATCCTATTCCCAAGCAAGGCATATATATTTTAGAAAGGAATTAAACCAATTAAATTAAATTACTGTTTCTTTTTATCATTTGTAAATGCTGACAACTAACATCAAAACGAGTCGAGTAAGAAAGGGTTAAAGAGGACCGACAGCTCAGCCTATGAAATTACAGATCTATCTACCCTATCTAAATCTACCTGACAAAATCCCAGCTCGTGTATATGTGGTTGCATAAAGTGTCGATCTTCTCATCTTGTCTCTTCAACTGACTGAGTGAAGACTTGGGTAGCGCAAGGATGACTTCTGCGGCCGTAGTGATTTTCATCAGCGCCGCATTTGTTGGTGTCGTATTAGGAGATATCGAGAACCAGGCAATTCATGGACAACGCGAATTCGTAAATCGAGTCAAAAGAAACACAAATAAGGAGAATACTGCCATCAATGGGTTCAGCGCCCAGGAAAAACAAAACATACTGGACAAACATAACGAATATAGAAGAATTCCCAATGCGGCGGATATGCTTCAAATGGTAAGAGTGGAAATATTATCAGCAGGTTGCACACTTGAATGCCATTTTGTATCATGTATATTTTTACTTAACACTTGCACAGTTCATCACAACACTTTTTGTTTTCACCAGTTAACGATAGAGAGGTGTCCAATGGCCCAATACCTGCACAATAATGGATACACTTGCCTGCATACATATTGTTTTGATGACAGTAATTTCCCGAGTCGATCTCATTCTTCACTTTACATGTGATACAACAAAGAGTCAAGCATAAGATTTGCATGGTACCTCGTGAATCCGGAACCCCTGTATTCCGAACGATCACTGAAGTAACTGTTATGTTTGGATACAGGGACAAACATATGGTCCGTTGAAGCGAAAATTCATTAACATTATTGAATTCACTGGTAAGATTAAGAATCACTGTACACACATGGGGCGGTGGGTAGCCTAGTGGTTAAAGCATTCGCTCGTCACGCTGAAGGCCCGGGTTCGATTCCCCACATGAGCACAAAGTGTGAAGACCATTTTAGGTGTCCCCCGTCGTGATATTGCTGGAATATTGCTAAAAACTGCGTAAAAAATATACTCACTCACTCACTGTACATACGTTCATATATTTCCGGGTTTTGCAAACACCGAGCGTTATTACCGATACCCGTGATGTTATATTATTCTCTGCGCTAACTTTGACGCAGTAAACATGACGTCATGTTTGGTTATTAAAGAGCCCTAAATTTTCGAGCCCTCTTTGGTCTCCCAAACTTAGTCTCAGAGTCTTTTTTATTTGTTTGCTCTTTCCCAAACGTCATTTGAATATTATAGTTACCACGTTTATATCGGCCTACCGACAATCAGTGATAAAACAAATGTAACGTTCCATTCATACTAGTTTCGCGTGAAGCCCATTTCTTGTGTCCCCCGCCGTGATGTTGCTAGAATATTACTAAAAGCGGCGTAAAACCAAACTCACTCACTCACTCACTCATATTAGTTTCTGTAGTCTTGCCGGTGTCAAATCAGCAATTTCAATCAGATATAGTTATTGTAATTTAATACTTTTCATTGAACAATCAATACAGAGTAATTTTCAAAGTCATGGTAGAATACATATTAGGTTCACTGTCTGGGAAATGAAGTAAAATCTTCAGTATTTCATACAAAGCATTTTTACGCTTCAAAGTGACTAATCACCCTTGTCACCTGAGGAATCCTCTTGGCCACATGCATTGCTTTATGCGCCATAAAACGTCACGATTCTCTGGCGATAAGTCAAAACGTAATAACATAGCTTTGTGTAGATAGGACCAACAGAGGTTCCATAACAAAGGTACGGCAGTTTTGTGAAAGTATCATATAGATTCTAATTGACGACAGCTCATAACAGGTGCAAATGTGTGAAACCTTTAAAATACACCGTAGTATTGCATATTTTCTCTGTATTTATTACGCCCAAATGTTCACGCAGTTGTGAAGAATGCTGTTTAAGGGATATTCAAAGCATTGTTTTGTAAAGTATGTCCCGGAGGTACTCATAAAAATGTGGAGGACAAGCAAGCAATGATGCGTTTCTTCTTTTAACATCACACCTGGTAGACGTATCCAGCTACATCTTAAACAACTCTTTAATAATGTCTGAGGTAAACTATATCGACATTATGCTGGTGTAACAGGGTGTGGAGTCATCCCACAGGTGTCATCCTTACCTTGCTGGCGGGGTTAACCTCTTTGGTCTCGTGGACAAGGCCTCTGACTTCGGATCAGAAGATCCGTGGTTCGATTCCCAGTACGGGACTTTTTATGGCCGCTACTCTGGCATCAGTTACTATGATATATATAGTCTTGTCATCCTTTTGGAAAAAGATAAAATGACACCCTAAGATATTCCCAGTAACCTATTGAAAACTGGCTATAAACAGGAGTGTTTGGTCAGGTTTGATGCCTGTCGTCGTATCCCGGTTACATGAGTGAGTGAGTTCAATTTTACGCCGCACTCAGCAATCTTCCAGCTATATGGTACGTAAATAATCGAGTCTGGACCAGACAATTCAGTGATCAACAGCATGAGCATCGATCTACGCAATTGGGATACAATGACATGTGCCAACCAAGTTAGCGAGCCTGACAATTTGCTCCCGTTCGTCGCCTCATGCGACAAGCATGGGATACTGGAGATCAATTCTAAACCGGATCTTCACTGGTCACCGGTTACATAGATCCACGGTTATGATGACAGTTACTGCCTTGTCTGGTCCAGGCTCGCTTATTATCTGACCCTCAGTGTGGCTGCCTACATTTTGGGATGAATAGTGTTGAGACATTAAACAACAAACACATGGCAGCTTGTTGACAGTCTGTCAGGCAACAGCTAACCCACTACGGGCTTGTTCATTGAACTGCTTATCTTTCGGGGTCAGACAGTGTTTGTGGATTGACTTGTGTTCACAGGTCCCTGTGTAAGTATGAGGCTGTAGGACGACCCTGTATCCCGGGTATCAGCGGGTAATCCATACTCCTAATGGATGCTTGTATAGAGAGTATTAGTCTCTCTGTGTGCTGGGTATCAGCGGGTGTAGCTCTCCTTGTATAGAGATTATTGGTCTCTCTGTGTGCTGGTATCAGCGGGTGTAGCTCTCCTTGTATAGAGGCTATAGGTCTCTCTGTGTGCTGGTATCAGCGGGTGTAGCTCTCCTTGTATAGAGGCTATAGGTCTCTGTGTGCTGGTATCAGGGGGTTTACATCTCCTTGTATAGAGATTATTGGTCTCTCTGTGTGCTGGTATCAGCGGGTGTAGCTCTCCTTGTATAGAGGCTATAGGTCTCTGTGTGCTGGTATCAGGGGGTTTAGATCTCCTTGTATAGAGGCTATAGGTCTCACTGTGTGCTGGTATCAGCGGGTGTAGCTCTCCTTGTATAGAGGCTATAGGTCTCTGTGTGCTGGTATCAGGGGGTTTAGATCTCCTTGTATAGAGGCTATAGGTCTCACTGTGTGCTGGGTATCAGAGGGTGGAGATCTCCCTGTACAGCGGGTATACGTCTCTGTGTGTGCTGGGTATCAGCGGGTTTAGATCTCCCTGTATAGAGGGTGTAGATATCTTTGTGTGCTGGGTGTCAGCGGGTGTAGGTCTCCTTGTATAGAGGGTGTAGATATCTTTGTGTGCTGGGTATCAGCTAGTGTAGATCTCCTTGTATAGAGAGTATAGGTTTATGTGTGTGCTGGATATTGGTCTTCAGCGGGTGTACATCTCCATGTACAGAAGGTGTAGGTCTCTCTGAGTGCTGGGTATCAGCGGGTTTAGATCTGAGGCTATAGGTCTCTCTGGCTGGGCATATCAGTACAGGGTATAGGTCTCTGTGTGCTGGTAACAGCGGGTTTAGATCTCCTTGTATAGAGGTTATTGATCTCTGTGTGTGCTGGGTATCAGCTGGTGTAGATTTTCTTGTATAGAGGGTATAGGTATCTGTGTACTGGGTATCAGAGGGTGGAGATCTCTTTGTATAGAAGGTGTAGATCTCTCTGTACGGTGGGTGTCAGAGGGTGGAGATCTCCTTGTAAAAAGGGTATAGGTCTCTGTGTGCTGGTATCAGCGCGTGGAGATCTCCTTGTATAGAGGGTATAGGTCCCTCTGTGTGCCTGGGTATCAGCGGGTGTAGATCTCATTGTCTATAGGGTATAGGTATCCCTGTGTGCTGGTTATCAGAGGGTGGACATCTATCTGTACAGCGGGTATAGGTCTCTCTGTATGCCTGGGTATCAGCGGGTGTAGATCTCCTTGTATACAGGGTATAGGTCTCCCTGTGTGCTGGTTATCAGAGGGTGGACATCTCCCTGTACAGCGGGTATAGGTCTCTCTGTGTGCTGGGTATAAGCTGGTGTAGATTTCCTTGTATAGAGGGTATAGGTATCTGTGTGCTGGGTATCAGAGGGTGGAGATATCCTTGTATAGAAGGTGTAGATCTATCTGTGCGGTGGGTGTCAGAGAGTGGAGATCTCCTTGTATAGAGGGTATAGGTCCCTCTGTGTGCTGGGTGTCAGCGGGTGTAGCTCTCCTTGTATAGAGGGTGTAGATATCTTTGTGTGCTGGGTGTCAGCGGGTGTAGATCTCCTTGTATAGAAGGTATAGGTCTCTATGTGTGCTGGTATCAGCGGTCGGAGATCTCCTTGTATAGAGAGTATTAGTCTCTCTGTGTGCTGGGTATCAGCGGGTGTAGCTCTCCTTGTATAGAGATTATTGGTCTCTCTGTGTGCTGGTATCAGCGGGTGTAGCTCTCCTTGTATAGAGGTTATAGGTCTCTGTGTGCTGGTATCAGCGGGTGGAGATCTCCCTGTACAGAGGGTATAGGTCTCTGTTTGCTGGGTATCAGCGGGTGGAGATCTCCTTGTACAGAGGGTATAGGTCTATGTGTGCTGGGTATCAGCGGGTGGAGATCTCCTTGTATAGAGAGTATTAGTCTCTCTGTGTGCTGGGTATCAGCGGGTGTAGCTCTCCTTGTATAGCGATTATTGGTCTCTCTGTGTGCTGGTATCAGCGGGTGTAGCTCTCCTTGTATAGAGGTTATAGGTCTCTGTTTGCTGGGTATCAGCGGGTGGAGATCTCCTTGTACAGAGGGTATAGGTCTATGTGTGCTGGGTATCAGAGGGTGGACATCTCCCTGTACAGCGGGTATAGGTCTCTCTGTGTGCTGGGTATAAGCTGGTGTAGATTTCCTTGTATAGAGGGTATAGGTATCTGTGTGCTGGGTATCAGAGGGTGGAGATATCCTTGTATAGAAGGTGTAGATCTATCTGTGCGGTGGGTGTCAGAGAGTGGAGATCTCCTTGTATAGAGGGTATAGGTCCCTCTGTGTGCTGGGTGTCAGCGGGTGTAGCTCTCCTTGTATAGAGGGTGTAGATATCTTTGTGTGCTGGGTGTCAGCGGGTGTAGATCTCCTTGTATAGAAGGTATAGGTCTCTCTGTGTGCTGGTATCAGCGGGTGGAGATCTCCTTGTATAGAGAGTATTAGTCTCTCTGTGTGCTGGGTATCAGCGGGTGTAGCTCTCCTTGTATAGAGATTATTGGTCTCTCTGTGTGCTGGTATCAGCGGGTGTAGCTCTCCTTGTATAGAGGTTATAGGTCTCTGTGTGCTGGTATCAGCGGGTGGAGATCTCCCTGTACAGAGGGTATAGGTCTCTGTTTGCTGGGTATCAGCGGGTGGAGATCTCCTTGTACAGAGGGTATAGGTCTATGTGTGCTGGGTATTAGCGGGTGGAGATCTCCTTGTATAGAGGTTATAGGTCTCTGTGTGCTGGGTGTCAGCGGGTGGAGATCTCCCTGTACAGAGGGTGTAGGTCTCTGTGTGCTGGGTATCAGCGGGCGGAGATCTCCCTGTACAGAGGGTGTAGATCTTTCTGTGCGGTGGGTATCGGTGGGCTTAGATCTCTTTATATAGGTCTCTCTGTGTGCTGGGCATCCCAAATGCGTGTTCATTATCGAAGTCTACACTTATTACGTTTCAATGTACATTTCATCACAAAATATCCTGATTAGAACTACCTGGCATGACTTTTCATATTTTACACTGTCTGACCCCAACCTGTGTTGCTTTTGAAATCACTTTTAGTAAAAATAATACGTGTTGTTCATAGGCGTAACACGTTCAGAGATAACACTTAGTGGAGTGCATTCGGTGCATTAATCAAATGATATCTTCTTAATCATAGCCTCCTTTTTTTCTGCTTCATTCAAAGGGTAAATTGTTGTACGTATGTGTATCGGAATCAATACAGAGGTGTCCTCCCATTTGTGAGAACTCCCAGTTGTGAGACACATTAATTAATGGTTCAGTGCACACAGGTGGTGCTTCCCCATCCCTACGATGAAAGTGGGAACAGCCCTGTTGCTGAAGAGTACCCGCAGGAGGCATAGTTCATTAATGAGTTAATTAACACAGAAGATATTGTTCGTTGAAGAGCATTCAATATAGAGGGTGAAACACTTTCAATTTACTGAACATTCAATATACATGAGGTTGAACGCGTCTCGCTATGCAGCGTGTTGATTGTAGACGCCGTTGCCTTGTTACAAAACATAGACCCGGGTGCATCACAATGTTTACTCACCGTGTCTCAGGTTTTGTCCGATTACACGTTATGTTCATTGTAATCTTCTTACAAACGTGAGAAGTTACTCGTCTTGTGGCTAAAATCATAATCTCACAGGGTGCTTGTGGGATTCAGGCGTTTAAGGCGCCGCGATTCGCATCGGATTGCAACAGCCTATAATCCTGTGAATGCACACAATGCCATTTAGAAAGTGGTCAAATGTACGATGTGTCATTTATCTGATTACCCGTGACGATCCGGCTTAGAAGTGGTCTTCAGCAACCCATGCTTGTCGTTCGTGGTGACTGACATGATGGCATGTTGTCGTCTGTAAATATACCAGTCTGGATCAGAAAATCAAGTGATCAACATCATGGGCATCGTTCTACGCAATTGGGATACGATCACATACATCAACTATGTCAGCGAGCCTGACCACCCGATCCAGTCGGTCGCCTCTTACGATGCATGAGTTGCTGAAGATCAGTTCTAACCCGGATCCTCTCGGGTACCCACATAAGAATATTCGTAAACAGCACATTACAATAGACGGATTAATCAAATAGTTTCCAAACCTGTCAGCAGTATTTCTGTAGTTATGTGGTCTTAAAAATAAAAATAATAAAATAAAACACATGGTTCCACTAATTTCTGATAGATTATACCTGTTGGATCTCTCGGGCGCATCACCTCGGTTCCACAAAGCAACTTCAAGTCTACAAATTGTTCAGTCTGACAGTTACGATCCTCTCGACATGCGACACCATTCTCCAAATAGAACTAACAAGCCGTGATATAACTGAAATATTTTTAAAGCAGTTTTAAACCAAGCACTCTCTCTAAAGTTCTTAGTCGTGAGAAGGATATTACACAGATAGTCATTAAGAGTGAGTGTGCATTGTCTCATGCAGCTTTACACAATAATCCAAAAAATATACCAAGAAATGGCCTTCACACAGTGTACCCATGTGGGGAGTCAAACTCGTGTCTTCGGCGTGACGAGCTAAAGCTTTAACTACAACGCTCCCATTGTAGTCGTTAGAAACAATGCGTAAATTAATTATTGAAATTGTTTCAGTGTATTGTTTGTCGTGTCCTAGCAACGCGACATTGTTTTATACAAAATCGATTCAAAACCCAACAATCCAGTTTCTGACATCCTGAGCATTGATTAAGTTACAACAATCTAGTCAGTGAGCCAGACCTCCCGATCAATACGCCCGAATACTATGGCATGTCTCCTAGAGTTTATAGTGGATTATTACTTTCACCCTGTTCTCATTTCTACCTGGATCTACGATAGACTATTAAATATAAACTCTGTCAAAAAAGAAACGCAACCCCTGTATTTTAGAGATTTTGATCTGAAGTTTTAGGACGACACGGCATTTTTATTATTTAAGACAGAAGTCTGAAATTTGGCAGAATAATAACCCAGATGGGCATGTTTAAAATTGTCATTTCAAAAGTCATCTCACAGACACCAGTTTGTCACCAGGGGGGGGGCGTCTTTCTCAGTATGTCGTATGAGCACCACGCGCTGCAATCACTGCACGGCATCTCCTTGGACAAGAACGGATAAGACGCCGGATTCTTTCCTGGGGAATGGCTCTCCACTCCTCCTGCAGTGCAACGGCGAGCTGTTGCAGCGTCTGTGGCGGCGGCTGACGTTGACGTACGCGTCGATCCAGAGTATCCCACAGGTGTTCAATAGGGTTGAGGTCTGGTGATTTAGAGGGTCATGGCAAGACATTGACGTTGGAATTCTGCAGAAAGTTCATTGTTGCACGTGCAGTATGAGGCCGGGCGTTGTCCCGTTGAAAAATCTGTGTCTGTTGGTCAATAATCGGGAGAAGGTGAAGCTCTAACACGTGGTTGATGTAACGTTGGGCTGTCAGGTTCCCTGGAACGATCACCAAGTCTGATTTCTGGTTGTATGAGATGGTTCCCCAAACCATGACGCTTTCTCCGCCAAATCTGTCCACCTGTCGGACGCAGATGGGCGCAAAACTTTATGACGTCTCCTATACAGACGCTGTCTTCCGTCGTGACGTTGCAAAAGAAAACGTGATTCATCAGAAAACCAGATTCGCCTCCAGTTTTGTAAAGTCCGTATCCTTACGTTGTTGCACCACCTGAGTCGTCGGCGTCGATGTAGGGGGCGTAGTACAGGTCCAACAACTGGTCTACAGGCACGTAAACCCGCTTCTTTCAGACGGTTCCTAATCGTTTGAGCTGACACTCTCCTCAAACCTGGTATTTGTGTGGCAGTCACGGTTGGTAGGGCATGCCGATTACGCAGGTGATGGACCCGGATGTACCGATCTTGAAGGGGGGTCGTGATTCTTGGCCTTCCACTTCTCGGGCGATCGTTGGTCAAATTGAAGTTGTTGTAGCGGCTCCAAAGTCGGGATATCGTTGTTTTGTGAACATTTAGGTGCCGTGCAACAGTTCCAAAACTTTCTCCGGCTTGAACACGACCAATGGCGATATTTCGGTCGGCAGCACTCAATCGTGGCATTTTTAACACAGCTTTTCGGCGACAAATGAATGAATATAATACGGAAGCACATGGGCTTTTATACACCCCTACATTAACTGCCATTTTCATGATTTGCATGTGTTTTTTTTGTGCGAAGTCACCATGAGGGTCATTTCATGCGTTGTGACGGAATAAGCAATAAAATACACTTATGCGTACAAATGCAGTTGTTTGGATGGTAATCTTCATTAATTACGTGTATCATTTCAATACATTCGAATAAAATTTAGTTTGGAAGCAATAACTTCATTCAAACGAATTTTTCATATCTGAGGACAGGGGTTGCGTTTCTTTTTTGACAGAGTTTATATCGGTGTATTTTTACGCAGACCAAGCATAAAACGTCCCCAAGCTCCCATGACTACTTCTGTAAATGTTCCATATATATTTTGTCATTTGATCATTTACTATTTTATTTCATATACGCTTAAACTATTTTTTTAAAAAACACTTAGTGATGTTCTAGTTGTTACACTGTCCTCCGATGATAGTTTTATACTGTTGATATATATATACTGAGGGAAAGAAATAAGGGAACATCATCTCTTCACAGTGCAATGCAAAGCTTGCGAAGATACCTGGAAAGAAGATATAGGAGCACTTGATCGTTCATGTGTTCCCTTATTTGTTTCCCTCAGTATATTTGTCACTGGTGTATAGTTTTCTCAAGATTTGGCGTAATACTGCCGATGTGACGACAACTCACTCACTCACACACCCATTCATCCACTCACCCAATCTCACTCACTCACTCAAGAAAAGCAAGATTTATGGATGTCAACTTCTTTACTGTGAAAAACACGACGTTTCGGAGTGTCTGCTTGCTCCTTCATCAGGTCTCACTCACTCACTCACTCAACCCGCCTACTCACTCACTCACGCCCTTACTCACTCACTCACTCCACATATATCGCAGCATTCTGTCGTGTTGTAATAGGTAATCAAACTGAATATGAAGGACGATTATGCCATATGGCTATAAAGGGTTAATACACTCCTACATGTTGTAGTTCAAAGACTTATCTCGGACAGCCAAACATGTAAACATTCAGTGGTGACTATGTTGTTACTATCTGACTTGTTGTGTATGTCTAGTCATCATCCCTTGTGTGGTGGGGCGTGGGAACCCATGCCGCTACTCATACTTTGCTGGAAATAACTTGGCGGATCAAACAACTTGCAAGCGAATTAACACAGGATTAAGTATGCTGTCTGTATAGAGACTAGTGTCTCGCTACGGTAGCTAACAACTCGAGCACATAAATATTATTTCCATCTTCAGGAAAAGGAATGCTTTGTCAACAGAGGCAATTAAGGTATCACATGTCTGTCCTTTTTAAAAAGATGTTTCTTTTTGCAGTTTCCAAACAACGTTTCATATTTTTAGTGTTCGCATACAGAAGTCATTGTTTGATAATTGTTCAACGTGAGCTATACATTTCAACACCCGGGTACCAACTCCACTTTATCAACTTAATATATATTATTCCTGCCCAGTAGCAGTACAAACAAGGGCGCGCTCTTTGGTCGCGCTAGGATCCACACTTAGTATGTTCAAAACAGAGTTGGATAACGTCTCTCTCTCTCTCTCTCTCTCTCTCTCTCTCTCTCTCTCTCTCTCTCTCTCTCTCTCTCTCTCTCTCTCTCTCTCTCTCTCTCTCTCTCTCTCTCTCTCTCTCTCTCTCTCACGATGTCTCTCTCTGTGTCTCTCTCTGTCTCTCTCTTTGCATTGCACTGTGAAGAGATGATGTTCCCTTATTTCTTTCCCTCAGTATATATATCAACAGTATAAAACTGTCATCGGAGGACAGTGTAACAACTAGAACATCACAAAGTGTTCTTTTTTAAAAACAGTTTAAGCGTATATGAAATAAAATAGTAAATGATCAAATGACAAAATATATATGGAACATTTACAGAAGTAGTCATGCGAGCTTGGGGACGTTTTATGCTTGGTCTGCGTAAAAATACACTATTATATATTTTATAGTCTATTGTAGATCTGTCTCTCTCTCTCTCTCTCTGCCTCTCTCTGTCTCTCTCTCTGTCTCTCTCTGTGTGTTTGTCTGTCTCAGTCTCTCTCTGTGTCTCTCTCTCTGTGTCTGTCTCTGTCTGCCTCTCTCTGTCTCCCTCTCTCTGTGTCTGTCTCTGTCTCTCTCTGTCTCTTTCTCTCTGTCTGTCTCTCCCTCTGTGTCTGTCTCTCTCTCTGTCTCTCTCTGTGTGTCTGTCTCTGTCCCTCTCTCTCTCTCTGTGTCTCTCTCTCTCTCTGTCTCTGTCTCTCTCTCTGTGTCTGTCTCTGTCTGTCTCTGTCTCTCTCGCTGTGTCTGTCTCTCTCTGTGTGTCTGTCTCTGTCTCTCTCTGTCTCTCTCTCTGTGTCTGTCTCTGTCTCTGTCTCTCTCTGTGTGTCTCTCACTGCGACTCGTCCACCCACAGCGCTCGGAGGAACAACCACCCCCGAGGCGACCCGAGCCTTTTTCCCGACCGACCCCATGCTCACTTAAAAGCCAATATATCAGAAACTATTCCACCGAATTTCATCAAATTTTGCATGCACCTCAGTAGTAGTATACACACTGGGGCTACTGGATTAGGGACTACTCAAGGGCTCAATTCTGGGGACCTGGTCCCGTAGCCCCATTGTGTATACTACTCTTTCTCTCTGTGTCTGTCTTTGTCTCTCTCTATCCCTCTCTTTGTCTCTCTATCTGTCTCTCACTCTTTCTCTCTCTTTCTCTATCTCTCTCTCTCTCTCTGTCTGTCTCTGTCTGTCTCTCTCTCTGTGGCTGTCTCTCTGTCCCTCTCTGTCTGTCACTATCTCTCTCATTGCAGTCCTGGGACAACGAACTGGAGGCCCTAGCACAGGGCTGGGCGGCCCAGTGTAAATTCGCCCACAACCCATCGAGATCAATTGCCTCGTCAACAAGCTCCATCGGCGAAAACCTGCATATCAAAGCACGTAAGTTTCATACCTATATAAGATTTTTATCACACAAGATGCGAGATGTGTTTACTAAGTGTATACGCTAAGTCAACAATTTCTGAAGCATTCGTAAAATATTACATGAACGCATTGATTCCAGTGAGATTGTATGATAATTGGGCTTTGACGATAACACTTGTGGACAAGTTGTTTGATCATGATATGACATGCTAAGTTGTGAATGATGTTATAAAAGGAGTTTCAATTTCATTGTCGTACATTAATATTCCCTTCTATCTAACTGTATTTGTCAACATAACTAACTGCTCCCAGACCCGTGAATTGGTCTTCAGGAACCCATTCTTGTCGTAAGAGGCGACTGACGGGATCAGGTGGTCAGGCTCACTGACTTGGTTGACATAATCACGTCATTGTATTCCAATTGCGTAGATAGTTGTGCATGCTGTTGATCACTGGATTATGTAAAGACCGCCGCCGCCGCTGGAATATTGCTGAGTGCGGCGTTAAACAACAAACAAACAAAACAAAAACAAACTAGATGTTCACAACATTGTGTATAAATTTCTTGTGTCCCTTCATCAATCACCCTGTCGTGCTGAAATGAGGTTTGTTTTCCACAGCAACTTATAACGAGGTTTCGACGGTGACATCCTGGCATAACGAGGAATCTTCCTACACCTACAGTACCAACAGCTGCAGTGCTGTATGCGGTCATTACACCCAGGTAAAGTATTACAGCAAATATACCAGGTAATGAAGGTGGTCATTCCACACAGGTAAATACTACAGCAAATATACCAGGTAATGAAGATGGTCATTACACACAGGTAAATACTACAGCAAATATACCAGGTAATGAAGATGGTCATTACACACAGGTAAATACTACAGCAAATATACCAGGTAATGAAGATGGTCATTCCACACAGGTAAATTACTACAGCAAAAATACCGAGTAGACAGCTACAACAAAACGGTCATTACACACAGAAAAATTACTACAGCAAATATACCAGGCAATGAGGGTGGTCATTAGACACAGGTAAATTACTACAGCAAATATTCCGAGTAGACAGCTACAACAAGGTGGTCATTACACACAGGTAAATTACTACATCATATATACCAGGCAATGAGGGTGGTCTTTAGACACAGGTAAATTACTACAGCAAATATACCGAGTAGACGGCAAAAACAAGGTGGTCATTACACACAGGTAAATTACTACAGCAAATATATCGAGTAGACGGCAACAACTAGGTGGTCATTACACACAGGTAAATACTACAGCAAATATACCAGGTAATGAAGATGGTCATTACACACAGGTAAATACTACAGCAAATATACCAGGTAATGAAGATGGTCATTCCACACAGGTAAATTACTACAGCAAAAATACCGAGTAGACAGCTACAACAAAACGGTCATTACACACAGAAAAATTACTACAGCAAATATACCAGGCAATGAGGGTGGTCATTAGACACAGGTAAATTACTACAGCAAATATTCCGAGTAGACAGCTACAACAAGGTGGTCATTACACACAGGTAAATTACTACATCATATATACCAGGCAATGAGGGTGGTCTTTAGACACAGGTAAATTACTACAGCAAATATACCGAGTAGACGGCAAAAACAAGGTGGTCATTACACACAGGTAAATTACTACAGCAAATATATCGAGTAGACGGCAACAACTAGGTGGTCATTACACACAGGTAAATTACTACAGCAAATATACAAGGCAATGAGGGTGGTCATTAGACACAGGTAAATTACTACAGCAAATATACCGAGTAGTCGGCAACAACTAGGTGGTCATTACACACAGGTAAATTACTACAGCAAATATACCAGGCAATGAGGGTGGTCATTAGACACAGATAAATTACTACTGCAGATATACCGAGTAGACGGCAACAACTAGGTGGTCATTACACACAGGTACCACAGCAAATATACCAGGCAATGAGGGTGGTCATTACATACAGGTAAATTACTACAGCAAATATACCAGGCAATGAGGGTGGTCATTAGACACAGGTAAACTACTACAGCATATATACCAGGTAATGAAGGTGGTCATTACACACAGGTAAATTACTATAGCAAAGAATACCAGGTAAGGAAGGTAGTCATTACACAAAGGTAAATTACTACAGCAAAAATACCGAGTAGACGGCAATATGAAGGATGTCATTACACACATGTAATTACTACAGCAACTATATCGAGTACTTGGGCACATTGAAAGTGGTCATTACACACACGTAAATTACTACAGCTAATATATCGAGTAGACGGCAATATGAAGGGTGTCATTACACACATGTAAATTACTACAGCAACTATATCGAGTACTTGGGCACATTGAAAGTGGTCATTACACACACGTAAATTACTACAGCTAATATATCGAGTAGACGGCAATATGAAGGGTGTCATTACACACATGTAAATTACTACAGCAACTATATCGAGTACTTGGGCACATTGAAAGTGGTCATTACACACACGTAAATTACTACAGCAACTATATCGAGTACTTGGGCACATTGAAAGTGGTCATTACACACATGTAAATTACTACAGCTAATATATCGAGTAGACGGCAATATGAAGGGTGTCATTACACACATGTAAATTACTACAGCAACTATATCGAGTACTTGGGCACATTGAAAGTGGTCATTACACACAGGTAAATTACTACAGCTAATATATCGAGTAGACGGCAATATGAAGGGTGTCATTACACACATGTAAATTACTACAGCTAATATATCGAGTAGACGGCAATATGAAGGGTGTCATTACACACATGTAAATACCTACAGCAACTATATCGAGTACTTGGGCACATTGAAAGTGGTCATTACACACATGTAAATAACTACAGCAACTATATCGAGTACTTGGAAACATTGAAAGTGGTCATTACACACACGTAAATTACTACAGCTAATATATCGAGTAGACGGCAATATGAAGGGTGTCATTACACACATGTAAATAACTACAGCAACTACATCGAGTACTTGGGCACATTGAAAGTGGTCATTACACACACGTAAATTACTACAGCTAATATATCGAGTAGACGGCAATATGAAGGGTGTCATTACACACATGTAAATTACTACAGCTAATATATCGAGTAGACGGCAATACGAAGGGTGTCATTACACACATGTAAATTACTACAGCTAATATATCGAGTAGACGGCAATACGAAGGGTGTCATTACACACATGTAAATTACTACAGCTAATATATCGAGTAGACGGCAATACGAAGGGTGTCATTACACACATGTAATTACTACAACAACTATATCGAGTACTTGGGCACATTGAAAGTGGTCATTACACACATGTAAATTACTACAGCTAATATATCGAGTAGACGGCAATATGAAGGGTGTCATTACACACATGTAAATAACTACAGCAACTACATCGAGTACTTGGAAACATTGAAAGTGGTCATTACTCACACGTAAATTACTACAGCTAATATATCGAGTAGACGGCAATATGAAGGGTGTCATTACACACATAAATTACTACACGAGCTAATATATCGAGTAGACGGCAATACGAAGGGTGTCATTACACATGTAATTACTACAACAACTATATCGAGTACTTGGGCACATTGAAAGTGGTCATTACACATATGTAAATTACTACAGCTAATATATCGAGTAGACGGCAATACGAAGGGTGTCATTACACACATGTAAATAACTACAGCAACTATATCGAGTACTTGGGCAATATTGAAAGTGGTCATTACACACATGTAAATTACTACAGCAAATATATCGAGTAGACGACAATATGAAGGGTGTCATTACACACATGTAAATAACTACAGCAACTATATCGAGTACTTGGAAACATTGAAAGTGGTCATTACACACACGTAAATTACTACAGCTAATATATCGAGTAGACGGCAATACGAAGGGTGTCATTACACACATGTAAATAACTACAGCAACTATATCGAGTACTTGGGCACATTGAAAGTGGTCATTACACACATGTAAATTACTACAGCAAATATATCGAGTAGACGACAATATGAAGGGTGTCATTACACACATGTAAATAACTACAGCAACTATATCGAGTACTTGGAAACATTGAAAGTGGTCATTACACACATGTAAATTACTACAGCAAATATATCGAGTAGACGGCAATACGAAGGGTGTCATTACACACATGTAAATAACTACAGCAACTATATCGAGTACTTGGAAACATTGAAAGTGGTCATTACACACACGTAAATTACTACAGCTAATATATCGAGTAGACGGCAATATGAAGGGTGTCATTACACACATGTAAATTACTACAGCTAATATATCGAGTAGACGGCAATACGAAGGGTGTCATTACACACATGTAATTACTACAACAACTATATCGAGTACTTGGGCACATTGAAAGTGGTCATTACACACATGTAAATTACTACAGCTAATATATCGAGTAGACGGCAATACGAAGGGTGTCATTACACACATGTAAATAACTACAGCAACTATATCGAGTACTTGGGCACATTGAAAGTGGTCATTACACACATGTAAATTACTACAGCAAATATATCGAGTAGACGACAATATGAAGGGTGTCATTACACACATGTAAACTACTACAGTAACTATATCGAGTACTTGGGCACATTGAAAGTGGTCATTACACACATGTAAATTACTACAGCAAATATATCGAGTAGACGACAATATGAAGGGTGTCATTACACACATGTAAACTACTACAGTAACTATATCGAGTACTTGGGCACATTGAAAGTGGTCATTACACACATGTAAATTACTACAGCTAATATATCGAGTAGACGGCAATATGAAGGGTGTCATTACACACATGTAAACTACTACAGTAACTATATCGAGTACTTGGAAACATTGAAAGTGGTCATTACACACATGTAAATTACTACAGCTAATATATCAGAGTAGACGCAATATGAAGGGTGTCATTACACATGTAAATTACTACAGCTAATATATCGAGTAGACGGCAATATGAAGGGTGTCATTACACACATGTAAATTACTACAGCTAATATATCGAGTAGACGGCAATATGAAGGGTGTCATTACACACATGTAAATTACTACAGCTAATATATCGAGTAGACGGCAATATGAAGGGTGTCATTACACACATGTAAATTACTACAGCTAATATATCGAGTAGACGGCAATATGAAGGGTGTCATTACACACATGTAAACTACTACAGTAACTATATCGAGTACTTGGAAACATTGAAAGTGGTCATTACACACATGTAAATTACTACAGCTAATATATCGAGTAGACGGCAATATGAAGGGTGTCATTACACACATGTAAATTACTACAGCTAATATATCGAGTAGACGGCAATATGAAGGGTGTCATTACACACATGTAAATTACTACAGCTAATATATCGAGTAGACGGCAATATGAAGGGTGTCATTACACACATGTAAATAACTACAGCAACTATATCGAGTACTTGGGCACATTGAAAGTGGTCATTACACACATGTAAATTACTACAGCTAATATATCGAGTAGACGGCAATATGAAGGGTGTCATTACACACATGTAAATAACTACAGCAACTATATCGAGTACTTGGGCACATTGAAAGTGGTCATTACACACATGTAAATTACTACAGCTAATATATCGAGTAGACGGCAATATGAAGGGTGTCATTACACACATGTAAACTACTACAGTAACTATATCGAGTACTTGGAAACATTGAAAGTGGTCATTACACACATGTAAATTACTACAGCTAATATATCGAGTAGACGGCAATATGAAGGGTGTCATTACACACATGTAAATTACTACAGCTAATATATCGAGTAGACGGCAATATGAAGGGTGTCATTACACACATGTAAATTACTACAGCTAATATATCGAGTAGACGGCAATATGAAGGGTGTCATTACACACATGTAAATTACTACAGCTAATATATCGAGCAGACGGCAATATGAAGGGTGTCATTACACACATGTAAATTACTACAGCTAATATATCGAGTAGACGGCAATATGAAGGGTGTCATTACACACATGTAAATAACTACAGCAACTATATCGAGTACTTGGGCACATTGAAAGTGGTCATTACACACACGTAAATTACTATAGCAGCTATATCGAGTACTCGGCAACAGCAAGATGGTCATTACGCACATGTAAATTACTACAGCAAATATATCGAGTAGACGGCAATATGAAGGGTGTCATTACACACATGTAAATTACTACAGCAGCTATATCGAGTACTTGGGCACATTGAAAGTGGTCATTACACACATGTAAATTACTATAGCAGCTATATCGAGTACTCGGCAACAGCAAGATGGTCATTACGCACATGTAAAAGATACACACTGGAAAAAGATTCGGAAAACACATATATTTCATAGTATCAATATCGTACCACTAACCAATAACACGAGAACAATAAGAAAAAGGAAAAAAGTTTCTGTCTATTTGGATAAATTAGCCGTGAAAAGAACGGAAAAGGTTGTACTGATAACTATGGTCGCATTACGTTTTAAAGACTTTCGTCTTACTCTTCCCCATGAAGTGAAAGTCCAGTGACGCCAAGCTGTTCGTTCTGTTTTGTGCTCTGGGGATAACAACGGACGTGGAAGTCGCAGTGGCTGAGCGGGTAGGCACCTGAACGTGTGCTTGCGATGAGGTGCCTGACTCTGAGGGTGTGGGTTCGAGTCCCGCATGGGGCTCAACCCAACGAAAGTACAAGAATGTGTACCTTACTAAGAAAGTGTACATGTAATCGCAATACGTTACATTTGACCACTTTCTAAATGGCACTGTCTAATCAACGCATGTCTGATGGCTAGTCTGTGTCTATACACCGCCGATTTTTGTCTCACGCCACTTGACACGAAAGGATGAAGTCTTGTGCTTCTGAGAGTGGTATCCTTCCTGCGAGTTGTCACTCGTCTCTAGTTTGGTGATGTTTCTGGCCATTCGTCTAATAGTGACTCAATGACATGCCAACATTCCTCATTTCAGTAACGTGACATCTTTAAGTAGTTGTCAAAAGAGCTGCTAATCAAGAACGAAATCAAATTGATTTTCCAAGTTATCGATCTGAAAGAACAGTTTACTGAAACTAAATATTTGCTGACATGTACACGTCATGCACGTGGTGCTTGCCTTTGTATGGAATCCTGGAAGGGACATTGCCGCGTTGTCGCATTGTCGCCCTCTCAAATACAAGCAAAATTAACCAAAACGCGACACGCGACACGCGGCATCGCGACAAATGGGCGAAATGTCGCGTTTTGGTTTATTTTGCCTCACTTTACTACAATGAGGGCGACAATGAGACATAGCGACAATGTCCCTTCTCGGATTCCATACCTTTGTCATAAAGTCAATGTATGGTGAAGTCCGAAAGATGAAAAATTCATCATAGAAACATCCTTTACTGCAAGAAACATACTGAGTAGTCACCAACGACACAGAGAGTCATAACGAGCATGCACACCGTAAATATACAAAACAATAATTATATACTCATAGAAACGAATAGTGATTGAGTGAGTTTAGTTTTACGTCGCACTCAGCAATACTCCAGCTATATGGCGGCGGTCTGTAAGTAATCGAGTCTGGAACAGACAATCCAGGGATCAACAGCATGAACATCGATCTACGCGATTAGGATACGATGAAATGTGTCAACCCAGTCAGCGAGCCTGAGAAACGAATAAGGGAACACATGAAAGTATAAGTGTTCCTTTATTTATTCCCAGAATTTCACCCACCGTGCAATACATACCTTGTGAAGAAACCTGGAAAAGAATAAAGAAACAATTGTACTTTCATGTGTTCCCTTATTCGTTTCCATGAGTATATATCAAGTTGGGGAAAACAGTTAACTCGGGAATACATAAATTATACATGAAACCTACTGCAACAACAAAAGCGGCCTTCACACACGGGTAATAAGCGCAGCAATAATTATACCAAGTTGCATTTATCAAAATTAGCCCATGCGGTTCTGTTTTTTCAAAGATTGTATCAATATACCCATATGTTCAGGTTATATGGGCTACTAGCTACAAGATCGGGTGTGGGATCAAGTTCTGCAGCACCATACAAGGGTCGACGATCACTAACGGATACGTGGTCATCTGCAACTACCTGCCGGCGTGAGTAAAATATAAACTGTTCTTATCCTGGTTAACACAAATATAGTAAACGATCCCAGAGGAAATACGGTATACCTAACCTGAGTGAAGTAATGTCAAGCTTTGATTTATTTGGGAGATAAAGTCGGTAATTCCAAGTATCGAATCAGTAGATGTCTACGTTTACAACCTCTTATTTACTTGATTTATGAGAAAAGCCGACAGCAACCCCAGTTCATCTTTGTGGTGCAGGGCACAGTTCCACATATTGATCGTAGCGCTACGACCATCGTAAGTCTCTGTTAAAGCAAAGGAGTTACGGGCGCCTGAGTGTTACGATCATCGTAAGTCTATGTATAAGTAAGGGAGTTACGATCACCTTAGGGCTACGACCATCGTACGTCTATGTTTAAGTAAGGGAGTTACGATCATTTTAGCGCTACGATCATCGTAAGTCTATGTTCAAGGAAGGGAGTTACGATTACCTACCATCATCGTAATTCTTTGTATAAGCAAGGGAGTTACGATCACTTTGCACTACGACCATCATACGTCTGTGTTAATTATGGGAGTTACGATCACCTTAGCGCTACGATCATCGTACGTCTATGTTTTATTATAGGAGTTACGATCACCTTAGCGCCACGATCACCGTGAGTCTATGTTTAAGTATGGGAGTTACGATCACCTTAGCGCTACAATCGCTTTGTGGAGCGGGGCCCTGGGAATCAACAAGGCATGCCAAGAAATCGGTCTTAAACACGCTAAGGATACTGTCGCATTCACTTTCAGTGGAAACTTCGTAGGTGCAAAGCCGTACAAGGAGGGAGCATCTTGCACCCAGTGCCCGGCAGACAAACCGACGTGTGACAACAAACTGTGTCGTAAGCAGCTTTTATTTCTATAAAGAATGTAAAAATAAAATGTCAGGTATTTCAAGTATCTATGTCGTACGTTGTTGAATGTGTTCTTTCAGTTTAAACCCATGTCGATCCGGGTTAGAATTGGTCTTCAGCAACCCGTGCTTGTCGTAAGAGGCGACTAATGGGATCGGGTGGTCAGGTTCGCTGACTCAGTTGACACATGTCGTCGCATCCCAGTTGCGTAAATCGGTGGTCGTGCTGTTGATTATCTGGTCCAAACTCGATTATTTACAGACCGCCGCCACATAGCTGGAATATTTGCTGAGTGCGGCGTTTGACTAGAAATCAACCAACCAATTGCAATCTTTCAGTTTAATTCATTACAACCCAAGTGTATTGATATGCAAATGGGGTTTTAAATACTGAGTTAAACAATGTATCAGTCATTACTTATTGTGGAAACTCGGACCTTGGACAGGCTAGCTTTTGTCTGTGTGTTAGTTAATGATATTATTTGGATGTTCACAAGACATCAAAGCATCACGTGTGTGTGTGTGTGTGTGTGTGTGTGTGTGTGTGTGTGTGTGTGTGTGTGTGTGTGTGTGTGTGTGTGTGTGTGTGTGTGTGTGTGTGTGTGTGTGTGTGTGTGTGTTGGCTTATTGTTAACCGTCTGCCCGTCGAGCTGAACACCTTCGATTTCCCCACATGGGTACAAGCCCATTTCTGGAGTCTCCCGCCATGATATTGTGGAATATTGCTAAAGGTGGCGTAAAATCAAACTCACATACTCACTCAAAGCTTCATAGGATATTTTGATATTTTGTCTGGCATGGATATACTTCCATTAGATGCTGTCATGCCCCAGGGTGCCATACTGCTACATACATCTTGATCATGATGGTCCCTTTTCTATAGGTGCCGGCAGTCCCAGCAATCCCTCCACTGCCGGGAGTACAGGTGCCGGGAGTACAGGTGCCGGGAGTACAGGTGCCGGGAGTACAGGTGCCGGGGCTACGGGTGACACGCCTACGACTGCTGCTACCACGACGACCACAAGTGGCGCCACCGTCTGGGCTGCAACCAGTCCTCTTTTGCTTCTGATACTCGCCTGTGTCAACGTACTGCCAATAGCCGGGCGCTAGTGTTAGTCAGCTAACATGTAGGTCACAGTTAGGATGACTAACCTCACATACAGTGACTAACGATTACAACCCACGCGCCGTGAAGGATTACTAGACTCTTGTTATACTATAGAAGACTGGATCTTTGAAGGGCATGAAGAAATGGAATGCATAAGAAAACTTGATTTACGGATGTCACTTTATTTATTGTCAATATCACGACGTTTCGGAGTGTATGCTTGCTCCTTCATCAGGTGATGGATAACACAAAGTTTCGATGTATAGCTAATATAAGTCTATCAACATTCCATCTATTAATATTTTGAAGAAGTGGGACAAGTATTGTTAAGAACATTTCTAGTAAAAACAGAAGTGTCCACTGTAGGCTTTGGACTATATCATAAGCATGTGTTTATGAATAACTATCACACAACGAGGACAGATAAGTGCAGGTCTATGTTTCCTCTCATGGAATAGTTTCGGAAATGATTCATTCACTTACATTTTACATTTTGATAACATTACTTCGTTTTTCATTGACGATAGAACAACACTGACCGTATTAACACCTATGTCATTGTTAGAGTAGGTTGGTATTGGAAATATATATCATTAAAGCCATAACATGTCTTGCATAAGAAGGTTGAAGCACATATTACAGTAAAACAAAAGATTAAATGTATTTTGACTAAAACAATTTGTATGCCACCTGAAACAAATTATGAAATATTATTCTAACAGACCGTTCCCCACGGATCAGCTGGACTAAACAATTCACATGTGCATGTAGATGCTTGTATTTGTTACTGAAGTTATTCATTGTAAAGCATATCAATTTTATTTTTAAGAAACGTCCTTATATTTTAATGGGTCGGACAACAACGACATTTACATATTAGTTCACACGCTAACAGGAGATATGGCGTATAGCCCATGTTTTGCCACACAGATATTTTGTGTTGTTGTTTGTTGTTACACTCATTTGCCTTTCATACGATGGATACTGCAATAGTTCATGTGATAATGTTCCTTTAATCCCGCTAGGTAGATTCTGTTACCACCTAATATGTAAATAAAGGAACGTTGGATCTAGAAAGGATGGCACCTGCGCTCTGTGCACTGTGGTGCTGTTCTTACTTATGGTCTCGTTCGGTAGGTGTTACTCGGTTGAGTATTAAAATATTGTTTTTCAATCTAAGATAAAAAAAATAATCATGTTTACATAATGCAGCTATGAGGATATTTACATCTCAGAAAAAAACAGAAAGCAATCATATTGTTTTACGTTGCTTTCATAAAAGAGTTGGAGTCGAACTAGGACAGCCACGCTAGACTATATGAATGCTAGTCGCGCAGTATAGTTTTCCATTTTATCCTCGTTAATCTGTCACACATTGTATGTTGTATCTATATCAAAGTTAATTTGCAATAAAGAATTTCTGTTTTACGAACAGTCGATATAATATTTAAATTGGCCGTGCATATAGACGTTTGTATTAGTTCACAAACTAAACTGAGACACAGCCGACATGGACACGTCCATACAGTGACATAGCAGATAGCCGTACACGTCCATACAGTGACATAGCAGATAGCCGTACACGTCCATACAGTGACATAGCAGATAGCCGTACACGTCCATACAGTGACATAGCAGATAGCCGTACACGTCCATACAGTGACATAGCAGATAGCCGTACACGTCCATACAGTGACATAGCAGATAGCCGTACACGTCCATACAGTGACATAGCAGATAGCCGTACACGTCCATACAGTGACATAGCAGATAGCCGTACACGTCCATACAGTGACATAGCAGATAGCCGTACACGTCCATACAGTGACATAGCAGATAGCCGTACACGTCCATACAGTGACATAGCAGATAGCCGTACACGTCCATACAGTGACATAGCAGATAGCCGTACACGTCCATACAGTGACATAGCAGATAGCCGTACACGTCCATACAGTGACATAGCAGATAGCCGTACACGTCCATACAGTGACATAGCAGATAGCCGTACACGTCCATACAGTGACATAGCAGATAGCCGTACACGTCCATACAGTGACATAGCAGATAGCCGTACACGTCCATACAGTGACATAGCAGATAGCCGTACACGTCCATACAGTGACATAGCAGATAGCCGTACACGTCCATACAGTGACATAGCAGATAGCCGTACACGTCCATACAGTGACATAGCAGATAGCCGTACACGTCCATACAGTGACATAGCAGATAGCCGTACACGTCCATACAGTGACATAGCAGATAGCCGTACACGTCCATACAGTGACATAGCAGATAGCCGTACACGTCCATACAGTGACATAGCAGATAGCCATACACGTCCATACAGTGACATAGCAGATAGCCGTACATAGCGTCCATACAGTGACATAGCAGATAGCCGTACACGTCCATACAGTGACATAGCAGATAGCCGTACACGTCCATACAGTGACATAGCAGATAGCCGTACACGTCCATACAGTGACATAGCAGATAGCCGTACACGTCCATACAGTGACATAGTGACAGATAGCCGTACACGTCCATACAGTGACATAGCAGATAGCCATACACGTCCATACAGTGACATAGCAGATAGCCGTACACGTCCATACAGTGACATAGATAGTCATACACGTCCATACAGTGACATAGCCGTACACGTCCATACAGTGACATAGCAGATAGCCACACGTCCATACAGCGTCACGTCCATACAGTGACATAGCAGATAGCCGTACACGTCCATACAGTGACATAGCAGATAGTCATACACGTCCATACAGTGACATAGCAGATAGTCATACACGTCCATACAGTGACATAGCAGATAGCCATACACGTCCATACAGTGACATAGCAGATAGCCATACACGTCCATACAGTGACATAGCAGATAGCCGTACACGTCCATACAGTGACATAGCAGATAGTCATACACGTCCATACAGTGACATAGCAGATAGTCATACACGTCCATACAGTGACATAGCAGATAGTCATACACGTCCATACAGTGACATAGCAGATAGTCATACACGTCCATACAGTGACATAGCAGATAACAGTACACGTCCATACAGTGACATAGTAGATAGCCGCACACGTCCATACAGTGACATAGTAGGTAGCCGTACATGTCCATACAGTGACATAGTAGGTAGCCGTACATGTCCATACAGTGACATAGTAGATAGCCGTACACGTCCATACAGTCACATAGTAGGAAGCCGTACATGTCCATACAGTGACATACTAGATAGCCGCACACGTCCATACAGTGACATATCAGAGAGTCGTACACGTCCATACAGTGACATAGCAGATAGTCATACACGTCCATACAGTGACATAGCAGATAGCCGCACACGTCCATACAGTGACATATCAGATAGTCGTACACGTCCATACAGTGACATAGCAGATAGTCATACACGTCCATACAGTGACATAGTAGATAGCCGTACACGTCCATACAGTGACATACTAGATAGCCGTACACGTCCATACAGTGACATAGCAGATAGCCATACACGTCCATACAGTGACATAGCAGATAGCCGTACACGTCCATACAGTGACATAGTAGATAGCCGTACACGTCCATACAGTGACATAGCAGATAGCCGTACACGTCCATACAGTGACATAGCAGATAGCCGTACACGTCCATACAGTGACATAGCAGATAGCGTACCATACAGTGACATAGCAGATAGCCGTACACGTCCATACAGTGACATAGCAGATAGCCGTACACGTCCATACAGTGACATAGCAGATAGCCGTACACGTCCATACAGTGACATAGTAGATAGCCATACACGTCCATACAGTGACATAGCAGATAGCCGTACACGTCCATACAGTGACATAGCAGATAGTCATACACGTCCATACAGTGACATAGCAGATAGCCGTACACGTCCATACAGTGACATAGCCCATACAGTGACATAGTACAGTGACATAGCAGATAGCCATACACGTCCACACGTACCAGTGACATAGCAGATAGCCACACGTCCACAGTGACATAGTCCGTACACGTCCATACAGTGACATAGTACCGTACGTCCATACAGTGACATAGCAGATAGCCGTACACGTCCATACAGTGACATAGCAGATAGCCGTACACGTCCATACACGTCCATACATACACATAACCAGATAGCCATACACATCCATACAGTGACATAGCAGATAGTCGTCCATACAGTGACATAGCAGATAGCCGTACATCCATACAGTCCATACAGATAGCCATACATAGCAGATCCGTACACGTCCATACAGTGACATAGCAGATAGCCACACGTCCATACAGTGACATAGCAGATAGCCATACACGTCCATACAGTGACATAGCAGATAGCCGTACACGTCCATACAGTCACATAGCAGATAGTCATACACGTCCATACAGTGACATAGTAGACAGATAGTCGTACACGTCCATACATAGTGACATAGGTAGCCAGTACACGTCCATACAGTGACATAGCAGATAGTCATACACGTCCATACAGTGACATAGCAGATAGTCATACACGTCCATACAGTGACATAGCAGATAGCCATACACGTCCATACAGTGACATAGCAGATAGCCGTACACGTCCATACAGTGACATAGCAGATAGCCGTACACGTCCATACAGTGACATAGCAGATAGTCGTACACGTCCATACAGTGACATAGTAGGTAGCCATACACGTCCATACAGTGACATAGTAGATAGCCACACACGTCTTTACAGTGACATAGCAGATAGCCGTACACGTCCATACAGTGACATAGCAGATAGCCCAACACGTCCATACAGTGACATAGTAGACAGCCGTACACGTCCATACAGTGACAAAGTAGGTAGCCGTACACGTCCATACAGTGATAGCGATACACGGATAGCGGATAGCCACACACGTTAATGCAATGGCATATACCGTCACATACAACAAATATATATGTATATAGTGTCATATATAACACATACCCGCCCATACCTAAACATAGCAGATATACCTGTCAATACTGTCACATGGAAGATACATTCGTCCATACTGTCACATAGAAGATATACCCGTCCATACTTTCACACAGAAGTTATACACGTCCATACTGTCACATGGAAGATACATTCGTACATACTGTCACATAGAAGATATACCCGTCCATACTTTCACACAGACGTTATACACGTCCATACTGTCACATAGAAGATATACCCGTCCAAACTGTCACATAGAAGATATACCTGTCCATATTTTCATAAAAAGATGTACCCGTCCATACTGTCACATAGAAGATATACCCGTCCATATTGTCACATAGAAGATATGCCCGTCCATACTTTCACATAAAAGATATGCCCGTCCATACTGTCACATAGAAGATATACCCGTCCATATTGTCACATAGAAGATATGCCCGTCCATGTTGTCACATAGAAGATATACCTGTCCATATTTTCATAAAAAGATGTACCCGTCCATACTGTCACATAGAAGATATACCCGTCCATATTGTCACATAGGAGATCTACCTGTCCATACTGTCATATAGCAGATATATACATCCAGGCTTTCACATACAAGATATATACGGCCCTACTTTCACATAGAAGATATACCAATCCAGACTTTCACATAGCAGATAGCTGCGTCGCACTACCTAACTCTGTTTATCATGTCAAGATCGCGACTGTTTAAGGTTTTCCGTGCTATCACCTGGCAACAAAATGTTGGCATTTAGCCAGCTTAAGTCTGAAGACGAACAAAACCTCCTTTGGCGGTAATGGTGACATTAGGTGATGACACATGGATATGTGGGATTGACATTTATCTCATGAAATCAATTCTTCCAGACTTTTCTCCATTTCGTATACTGAACACAAATTGACATTTAAGCAGAAATTCGAAACAACAACGTTGTATTACATATAACATATGCCAAATGGAAGTTACTTAAGCTATTGTTTTTGACCTTCAGTTTTTCTAAAGAAATCGTTAAAAATATATTCACCTGAAAATATGATTCGACCAAAACGTTACCGAAACCTTTTTCGAAACGTTCTATACTAGCCTTGAGAATGTGAAACACTGTGAACGTAATAGACTAGGACAAATTACTCAAATTGTTAACCCTGAAGGCAAATCGTGTTAATTTTTGGCATACAAGCTTTTAAGGGGTATTGAGGGGTGCTGAATCCAAATATGCTGTACGCCAAGCTAACAAATGCCCCATAATGCCTCAAAATGCAGAAATCCAAGATGGCCGCCAACGCAACATTGAAACATGAAAACTATCTCTTTCATTTATCAAGGTAGAAAGTTGAAAAAAGTATGCTTTCTTATGTTTTCACATATGGGGAATGCAATGCAATACTCAATTTCATGATTGAAACTGTCGAAAATTC